TCCATCTGGCATTTTTTTTTCAGGCAGAAACTACTAGTCAAGACTAAAGCAAAAAGTATGCTTTTTCGCTTAGCTCTTGTGCTTTAACTTGTCTGCAGTTCTTGGATTGATTACTACCCTTGGAGACTGAGCAACGGGAGTGAAATTTGGCATGCTTGTTCAGGACACAAATCTGCCCTTCAGTTTAGAAGTGCTGCTATTTTTTATCCAAGATGTATAAGGGGAGAGAGAAAAAGCTCCAAAGTGCATAGCCAGGTAAAATCTCCCTTGAGTATGAGAAATCCCAACAAAACATGCATGCGTGTGACAGAGACAAAAGAATGACAGTTCTGGGTTTAATCTCCAAATGTCTGCTGAATATCTGCCCATTTGGGGGGAGCGAAAGGGAAAGAGAAGAAGAAAAGTAGATTGCATTGTGAATTTACTCAGAGATTCCTTGTATATGGTTTAGGGATTAATTAGTTTGTAAAGAGACATTCATTCTTATTCATGGCTTCTGATCCCAAAGCATTATCCTCTTGTCTCAACTGTGTGAGCTAGTTGAAGTTCATCATGTCCAGGCTATATTTTATGTGCAAATGTGTTTACCAAAAGCCCAAGAAGCAGTTTTAGGGAAAGAGGATCATGAGTCGAAGATGGTATGAGGGTGAAGGCCTAGAACCCTCTAGTGTTCATTTTCTCTGTTTCAAATTGCTGTCTGCTGGATAATTCTCATTCTAACAGGCTCCGAGATTTAGAACTCCACAGCTACAGAAGTGGCTGCAGACAATTTGAAGCAAAGAACTGTGGTGTGGGGATAAAGGATTAAGCATCTCATGCCTTTCGACGTGTCCACTCCATATTTCAGGGCTGTTTTTTCTGTTAAGAAAACTATCAGCAATTGTCTGCATAAACCTGAGCAAAACACATCCCTCACATGTAAGACCTGAATTAAAGTATTGTGAAACACTTAATATTGCACACCTCTTACCATGTCCTCATCTAGGCACCTTAAAAAAAACACTAAAAGGGTATAGCTTTGTTTCACAGGGAAAGAGGCCACTGTCGTATACATACTACCACCACCTTGGGTTGTCACCTGTTGTTCCCACACTCACAAGGCATACATCACAGTGCAGATCTTGAAGGACTGCCTTATTTACTTCCTTCAATTGCAAAAGCTAGAGATGTACGTAGTTAACATTTTGCACTGCAACTTCCAGAATCACCCATGCATTACAGCCATTGGCCCTTCTGTCTGGGGAGTAGTGTAAGCTGTAATCCAAAAATATAAATACGTAACCTTTAGCAAAAACCTCTACCAACTCATAAGAAGGCCCATTATGTTATTCCAAGATTGCTAAATTTGCTCTGGGGATTTGGTAGATGTATTCACAAAGGCTTTCATGGCCGAGATCCGATGGTTGTTGTAGGTTTTGGGGCTGTTTTGGCTGTGTTCTTCAGAACACGACCAAACCGCCCGAAAAACCTACAACAATTATCGTTCGGGTAGATGTTCTCAAAAAAAGAGAGTGTTAATGGTTGTTGTAGGTTTTGGGGCTGTTTTGTCTGTGTTCTTCAGAACACGACCAAACAGCCCGAAAAACCTACAACAATTATCGTTCAGGTAGATGTTCTGAAAAAAAGAGAGTGTTGATACAATCACCTTCATTTTCATGTTTGACCATCTTGCAGCACTCTAATACAATACAATCACCTTCATTTTCATGTTTGACCGTCTTGCAGCGCTCTAATACATCTGAGGCATCACTTCTCTTTACAACAGCCATGCTCATTCACCTTATTCATGGCTTATCCTTCTATATGTCTGTTTTATCTTTAGCAATGATTTCCACTAAGTTGTTCAGAAAAGTTGTTAAAATAGCAAAGTACTGCATCCAATGGGCACTCCAGGGACAGACAGACACGTGTACTGTAGTCTGTGCCTAGAGACATGTTGAAGCTCCCCCCCCCCCCCCCGTGGATCACTCTATCCGCATCATAATAAAATCTTTGGGACATTGAAAATACTTAGGGATACTTTCTCTCACAGCCCTTGGCTTAGTGCCAATTCACGGAATCTGTCTGCCATGACAAGAATGGGGCCTTTGTAGACCCTCCATTGTGTTCAATGATGTAGTGGGTTCGTAAGGTGGTTTCACTTGATCCCCACTTAAAGCCTGGCTGCAATATTGCTGGAAGTAAGTTGAGCAATGGGAATCAGTAAACGCAACGACACCTGTACCCCCACCCAACTCACTCTCGGACAAAATGGATTCACTGTGTATCATATTCATGTAGTGTCCTGGGAGTTGGTCATAAAATAACAGCAATTTTCAAAGGCATACACACTACCAGCTCTGATCAAGCATGCCTTCATTCTCCCTGACACCACACTCTCACAATGCTCTCTCCAGGACGGATGTTACAGACTCAACGCTTTTCAAAATATTGCCCTCTCCTTCTCAAAACCCTCAGGAATCCATAGGATTGAGCTGCTTGCAAAACTCAACAAGTACCAACACCCGCCTTCAGCTGATGCAAAGGCCAATGAATGAATGGATGAATGAATAAACTCCTTTGCTTTCTATTGATGTGAAACGGTTCCAGTCCAGTCCATCTTGAAATTTTATGTTTTCCAGTTAAAGGTTTTGTGAAACACTGTATCAAACTTTTTTTGTACTAAAATACAGATGTATATATTACAGCTACTGTATTCCCTCCTCCACCAGTCTTCCCATTCCCATTGACAGTAATCCCATTTCTCCAGCACATGTGGCATGATGTACACACTTCCGCATTCTGACACGCCCCCACCACCACCTCCTCCTCCACCACCACCACCACAGGGTAGTCTTGCCCTGTCAGCTCATGGCATGTGAAAGTGCTCCCCGGTGGCTTACGGAGTTGCAGGCTTAGTGCTTTGCCTCCATTTCCCAGCTGCTAAATCCTTTTACCAAGGTATCTGGGATTTTTTCTAGAATGACTGATGGGACGGTGGGGGCTGAGAGCTGTGGATGCTAAGGCGTGTGTGTCTGTGTTTGCATGTATGTGCTCGGGCCAACAAAGCAAAGCCCTTGCTTGAGTTTGGCTGTTCTTCCCCCTCTCGCGGCAATTATTATTCTCTTACGTGTGGATTTCTAGGTTTTATGGCCAATCCTGCCTGTACTTACTCCAAATTTAGGCCAAATCCATTTGCCAAGCAAGCATGATGAAGTCTGAGGTCAATAGTGCAATTAGATGAAGTTAGAATCCAAATTCAATTGTCTTGCTAGGGTTGAGTGGGGTGGGGGCTTTTCCAGATAAGAATGTATACAACCTTGTTCGCTGGGGCAAGCTATTCTGTCTGGGTTTGGGGACTCTTCTGATCCTTCTACAGAGCGGGAGCCCTCTGTTTCTGCCCCCCCCCAAATCCTACCCTGATGGCACCAGTAACTGAGCTTTTAATGAGTGCCTAATTAAGAAGCTAAACTCACATGTAACTCAATTTGGATGTAGATTTGCATCCTGCGGGGGCTTTTTTAGGAACTAAGAGCAAAGAAGAGGATTCCCTTGGCACTTCTAGGTTGCACCATGGGACATGGCGAGAGGGTCTCGGTGGGCTTGAGCTTAGAATAGATGTAGCAACAGAACTGTTGGGCCTGTGAGCGACTTCTTGGTGGCCCATAAGTTTGACAAATGCAGCAACAACCACTGCTGCTAGGCCTCCCGCATTTGAAGCACACTCTCCTTTTTTTTTTTTTTTGTCCACTAATGCTTACAGTGTTTTCCTTAGGACAAACTAGATGCATTCTTAACAGCTATTTTTTATGCAATTTAAGAACCACTCTGTGTGGGAATCCTATATGGGCCATGGTGCTTGACGAATGTGGGAAGCTTAACTCTTCCCTCTATGGTATCTCCTCGCTGGAATACTATCCCTGGAAATTGCTATTTATTCTCAGAAATGAACAAGATTTTCCCTTGAGGGGTGTCATCTGGAAAACCTTCCCCTGGTACCACAGCCCTTTGACTCCCCCCCCACCCAGCCCAGCGGGAGATAATGGCAGATAATCCCACCACAAGAGTTCTGCTCCCACTTCCCCTTGTGCCTTCCTCTGCGCCGCCATCCCGGTCCTTAATGCTATTTTATTTTACAGTGGTGCCTCGCATAGCGAGGTTAATCCGTTCCGGATTAACCTTCGCTATGTTGAAGCATCGTTAAACGGTACAGAAAAGCCCATTAAAACGCATTAAACATGGTTTAATGCGTTCCAAATGGGCCAAATACTCACCATTTAACGAAGCTTCGTAATGGCCGGCAGCCATTTTCGCGCCCTCGCCTTGCTTAACGAGGGCGCGAAACCGCTGCGGGCGGCCATTTTAGGCCATTTCCCGGCTTCCGGCGGCCATTTTGGCCGCCGAACAGCTGATCGGCGGGGGTCGTTTTGCGAAGATCGGTAAGCGAAACGCTTACCAGTCTTCGCAAAGCGAATTTTTCCCTATGGGAAAAACGTTGTGCGATCGCATTAGCGATCCGAAAAAACGGATCGCTATGCGATTTAATCGTTATACGGTGCGCTCGTTAAGCGAGGCACCACTGTATTTATATATTGAGCTGCCAATCTAGACCAAAGGTCTACCCTGGGCGGCAACAGAGCATATACAGTGGTGCCTTGCAAGACAAATGCCTCGCAGGACAAAAAATTCACAAGAGAAATGGTTTTGGCAATGGGGTTGATGACTCGCAAGACAAATGTTCCTATGGCCATGCTTCGCAAGATAAATATTTTCCGTTTTTTGTTCCTGCCTCATGTTTGCTGATTTTTAAATGTTTTTCTATGATGTTTTAAAAGTTAAAGGTTTTTTTGTTGAAATTTTTAAAATCATCTGCGCAATATGTATGGCTTTAAAGGGCACTTAATAGACCCTTTGTAAACCAAATTTGACTTTGTTCTGACTTTTTTTGCCTATAGGAACGTGTTAATTAGATTTCAATGCATTCCTATGGGAAAATGCATTTCGCAAGATGAGTTTTTCGCAAGACAACATTAACCGTGGAACGAATTAAACTCGTCTTGCGAGGCACCACTGTAACAGTTTTAAAATTTTAGGTTATGGCCTCCCTTGAGGTCCCTTCAGGATCTTAGCTGGCTTCCACATCTATAACCAGACTCTTCATGCCACTGGCTCCAGATTGAGCCCTACCCATCCCCCTCAGCTAGTGAACAAACTGGTTGGGGAAATGGGGAAGGTATTGTATACTCCAAAAAGGCAGACTTTTCCCATCTCTATGCTTAGGCAGTGTGAGGCGGCACACTTTTAAGTGGTACATTTAGGGATTCCATTGAAGGGTAGCAAATGGCTCATCCAGTTTAAAACTTTACAACCATACATGATACTGTTTGGATTTCCTGCCTCAGGCATCAAAATATCATAAGGCCATCTCTACATCTCCCCATTCCTGCCCTACAGCTTCCTTTTTTTGTTCTTTGGCCTTCCATTTCTGTCTGCCTACGGAGCAGATTCTCTCTCTGCTTTTTCTGTGCCCTTGGTTATCTCCTCCTGCGAGAAAGGGTGTTGGTAGGGCTATTGCTGGGACAGCTGTTGCTTGCTTCATAGTGGCTTTAAAATGTCAACAGCTGGTGAGGGACTGTGAGAAAAGAAGGAGGCTCCACACAGGGACGAAATGGCATGTGTGTATTTATGACACCGTTTGGGTGTAAGGCTTTAGTTGGCCTCACCCTAGTCTCTCTCTGTCTCTTATGTAGTTTGAGGCTTGCCTTGTCGGCTGCCCTACCCAGGGCCAAATGATTGCACTTGTGGAACTATTTCAGTATTCACCTCAAACTGTGAGGGTTGGTGTCAGAGGAAAGCCGTTGCGTCCAGATATTTAGGGCAACACATTTCTCTCCTAGTTTTCAGAGTCGCTGAGAGGGTAGAACAGTGATTGGAGGGTGAGGCTGGGTTCTTTTACCCTTGCCCCCATTTCACCCTTAGCCCACCAGATAGGAAGGAAGAGGGGAGCACAAGGCCCTTCTTGCCTAGAGTCAAGGTCTCAAATGCTGGGCCTCGTAAGCATTTTGAACTGTAATTCCCAGAATCCCTGGCTATTGGCCATGAAGGTTAGGGCTTCTGGAAGTCAAAGTCCAGCCGCAGTGGAGGACGCTTGGGCTTCAAAGACTAGTGCTGTTCAGAGGAAGGTGGACCCTGCACGGGCCCAGTTTTCCTATCCTTGACCCACCTTCCCTGAGTTGCAAAGCTGCTTCTGCTCAGGGAGATGAAGCACCATGTGTGTGTGTGTGTCCAAGGGAAGTAGCCCTTGGGCACATGCCTCAGAGCTAGACAGTGGCCACGGCTTGACCGGGTCTCGACCTTGCCAGCAGACCAGAGGAAGGTGATCACTCCCGTGCCTGCATCTCATTGGCCTCTTTTCTGTCCATGCTTCCCTGGAGGTGGGACCTGATCAAGGCTTACATTCATGGTTAGAGGAATCATCCTGTAGGCTGAAATGGCATCACCCTCATCCCACAGTGAGCGGGGCGGGGGAACCAGCTGAGCAGTTCCCTCCCCCCAACCCGCACTCCGTTTCTTCTGTACACTTCAAGGTACAGCGGCATTTACCTAGGCAGAATGAATGGAGAATGCAAAGTTCTGGTGGCTGAAATCCCCAAAGGGAAGGGGATGTCGCTGCTCACCGTTACCCTGTTCAGAGACGATTTAATTTACACAGAAAAGTATCAAATGGACCAGTCTCAGGTGCTGGGTAGCCCCGGATGGGCGTACAGGTGGGCAAAAGTTGCTGAAAGGTTAAAAATGTGGGGCAGATGAGGCAAAGAGGTGGCCCTGGCAGAGTCTGTTTGCAGCAGTAGCATCTTGGCATCAGCTGTTGGTTCTTCGAAAGAAGGGCATCAGGAGGAAGGGAGGGGGGCATACTGGACGCTTTTCTTGTAAAAGCTAGCTTCTCCTGGGAAAGGTTGATATTTAAAATTCCCCGGGGAAGTCATTTCCTTGAAACGCCAAAGTTGGACTGCGCATCTCGTTTCCTCTTCTCCAAAGCACTGCAGTTCAGGCTTAAGGTTCGGGCCATCGAGGTCAACCTTCCACCCAGCGGCCAATCAGCAGAGAAGGGGAAGGAGCCAAAGCTGGCGAATCATCATGAGGGATGGATGTGTCTCCGGAAGTGGTGCGGCGCAGGTGAGGTCGGTCGAATTCTGAGACTTCGGAGTTGGGATGGTTTTTTTTTTCCAGTTGGCAGCAGCAAAGGAAAGGCCGTGAGGGAGGACGGAAGGGGCAGAGGGGAGAGAGAGAGTGTCCAGTCCAGATACCAATGAGAGCTGGGGCCCTCCTGCCTCTTCTACATTATATCCTCTGTGGAGAAAATGTAAAAGGGTCAGCGATATGTGCTCTATGCAAGACTTCACCAAAGTCAGAAATAGGGAGTATGGTGTATACCCTTCATGGGAGCGGATGATGGGAGGAGACAGCTAAATTTCACCATCAATGTAACCCAAACTCTGCATCAAGAATAGCTGCATCAAGTCATATTAAAAGTTGCCAATTTTGACAACCCTGTCTGCCAATCATAGGAGGAAACGAGGAGCCACAACGTTCTCTGAAACCCTGATGGTGGGAAATATCAAGGTTTGAAACCTCAGTGTCACCAGGCATCCTCACGTTGACCTTCACAGCCCTCAGGGAGGAGTGAGCAGCCTGCCACTCTCCAGATGTCAGACTCCAACTCCTATCCACAGTATGGGAAGAGTTAAAGAGTTGCTTTTCTGGACGATAACACCTGGAACCATTCAATCAGCAAGACCACTGGGAGATGAGGTTACACATAGGATTTTCTCCAAGTTGTGTTCGCACAATCCCTCCACTATTAGTTATATGGGCAAGAGGCAATGGGAGCTGCACCCTGACTCGGAGGGCCATGAGTTGCCTTACTTCCTCCATGAGGGCTAGAATACTGGTGGAAGTGTCCGTCTCTTTGTCCCTGTGGTTGTGGTTGTTGTTTTAATGAAAGGGAAATAGATTTTTTAAATTCTCTGCCGAATACCACTTTCCATTCTTGTGTAGAGTTGTGGCACACACACACACACAGCCATAGAGAAAGGAACATACATGCTAACACAGGAAGAAGGAGGTTCCCCGCCAAGTTTTCTGTAATTAAAGCTGTTCTATTTTTAACCCCAGGCTGATTTGCCATTCTAGAAATGTAAGCAGACCAAGCATTTCCACTTCCACTTGCTTTCTTAAGGTCACTCTGATCAGATCCCTAGGTAAATGAGGCAGAGGAAGGAAGGCAAGAGAGGCGCCCATGTCTTTGCCTGTCCAGGCAGAGTCTGGATGCAAAAAGTAGGCACACAACTGCAAAATTTGGAACAAGTGATATTTTCTACAAATGCAAGAGTAGGCGATACCTTTATCATACCACTACAAAAAAAAATTACAAATGCAAGAGTAGGTGATACATTTATCATACCACTACAAAAGAAACTGAACAAACAGTGAGCTTCTGTGGATAAAATCCACTTCTTCAAGCTTAAGCACCAATATTTAATGTCTGCTTGAGGTGAGTCCCAACACTAGTTGCCTCTCCTCCTCCCAACCGCTGGGGTGAGGGAGGCAGTCCTCAAGCCCCACCTCTGGCAATATAGCTGGAATGTTCCACCCACACCTTTAGAAGAAGGTTTACCACTTACCCTGCAATCACTTCCCCCTTCACACTCACTCACATATTTTCTGCTTTTGAAACATAAAGTTCCTGTTTGGCTGTGGTGTGGAGGAAAGGCAATACGGAACGAAGCAGCCTCCATCAGAAGGTTGAGGCTAGAACTTGGTCTGCTCACTAGGTAGAAGAAGCCAATTGAAGCCAAATTAATAGTTTTATCTGGTGAGTATCAGCAGATGTTTCCCTCTGTTTTCAGTCCCATTTGGTTGATGGCAAGAGTCCATGTCATCTTACAAGTGGTGCTTTGGATGGCCGTTGATGGTTATCTTACATAGTCCAGAAAAAATTAGAAAAAGTCTGTGTGGGCCTTAAAATTACTATTGATTTGGTTTTAACTGAAAACGGAATGTTATGTTTCAGAACCAGGAAATATGAGTGGGGGGGCAGTGATTACAGAGTAATTGGCAAACCTTTGTCTGAAGAACTGGGTGGAAAATTACACACACACACACACACACACACACCAGCTATTTGTTTACAAATCTGACAGCAGAAGGGCAAACTATTGTCAGTAGTTATATGCAGACAGCTGGCGTGCCCACATGCTGGTTCTTACACAGGGCAGCCAGTGTTTGGAGTCACCTCAAGCAGACCTGGCACAGTCATCTGCCACGAATTTTTGGGACTCTGATTTACAATTTTTATGTACTATCCATCAAATATTGGTGCTTAAGACTGAAGAAGTGGATTTTATGCATGAAAGCTAGTTGTTTGTTCGATTTCTTTTAGTGGTCCAATAAAGGTAATGCCTAATTTTGCATTTTAAGGACCATACAGCCTTTTGCTAATTTTTTAATGAATTATGACATTTTCTAGTTACATTTTTATTTATTTATTTTAATTTATTTTATTAGACTTATATACCACCCATCTAAAACAGGTCTACTCTAAAATCTAGGGCATTTTAGAGTCATTTAATGAGAATTTTCATGATTTATGATGCTCTGTTATCAATCCTAAGTGGCAAGAGAACTACAATGGTGCCCCACATGACGACGATAATCCGTTCCATAGAAATCGCTGTTTAGCGAAAACATCATCTTGCGAAAACCGTTTCCCCATTGGAATGCATTGAAACCTGTTTAATGGGGAAAAATCTTTGTTGTTTTGCGAAGATCGCCCATAGGGAAGTCATTTTGCGTAGCGCTGATCAACTGTTAAAATGGCTGCCCTGCGAAGCATTGGTCCCGAAAACACCCGTCTTTGCAAAGCGCCAATCAGTGGCAAAATTGTCGTCTTGCGAAAATCGGTTTGCGAAGCAGGGACCCAAACATCGTCCAGCGAAAATCGCCCATTGGAATCCCTGCTTTGCGAATCGCTATAGCAATAGCACAACCTCATCATCATGCAGATTCGTTTTGCGAGGTCGTCGTCTAGCGAGGTACCACTGTACTGTTTCATGTTTCATATTTTTAAAGATACTTTCAAGGAGTAATGTCAAAACTTGCCACTAGAGGGAACTGGAGAGTATTTTCCTATACTGTATTCTTCAGTTGCTAAGGGCAGGGCACAGCACTGATAAGGTGCTACTGAATTTACATAAACTGGGGCAGTGATAATCATAGTGATCATCTCAGTGGAATTCAGATTTTTTTTTTCTTTTTTGGACAACTCCCAGCCTGGCTGGGACCTTGGTGACTAGATGGCGGATTCTGGAGATTGTAGTTAAAAAAATGTAACATTAGCAAGCTGTCCATCTGACCATCTCAAAGTAAGGGTGACACATGGAATTCCTTCAGAAAAAAACCAGCCATTCCGAGCTCTGTGTGTAAGAAAAGAATTAGCATGTGGGCACACCAGCTGTCTGCATATAACTACTGACAATAGTTTGCCCTTCTGCTGTCCGATTTGAAAACAAATAGCTGGTGTTAGGAGTGAAATATCTTAAACCCCCCACCTGCTATTTGCAGTGGGAAGAAAGATCCTGGTGGGGTCCATGGGAACTCTGCTTTTATTCTAAACAGCAAGTGGGTCGGTGATAAAAGGGCCTCCCTAATGCCGTGGTGCTGATCTTCCTCAACCCCCTCCACTGTCTGTCTGTCTGTCTGTCTGTCCTGGTGGGGTCCATGGGAAAAACCTCTTGTCATCCTGGCTGTGTGCATTTAGCAGACTCTCAGAAAGGTGAGCCTTCAATGCCAATTTTTCGGTTAGGTGGAGCACTGGAGCATCTACAGCGATACAAACGAGATGGCCTCCTTTCCCCTCTTCCCCTGAAAGTGGAGATGGGAGGAAAGCAGGCCTGGTGGTCGTGCAGGCCATATGAGCCCTGGGTCCAACTCCATGGCTAGAGGGACAGAAAGTTTTTTTTTTAAAGCCTGGAAGTTCTTCATTTTTGAGACAAGACAGTATCGCCCTGTCTTCTTGAAGAGTTGTCAGTGGTGGGCATCTTGGCAGACGACGCTGTGTCAGGAGTTGGGTCACCACTACCGTCTCATTACATCCAGGAAGTCCTCGTTAAAGAGGAGGTGGAGAGGCCTTTCTCTCTATGTGTAGAAGACACAGGTGAGATGCCCAGGGCTGCTGCTGTGGGTGAGGGTGGGGGTAGGGAAAAGCAGAAGGCCTTAGGGTGACACGACTCAGAGGAGGAAACCAGGGGCAAAACGGAGTGGGCTTGTCCAGCTTCCTCACTGGTCATGATTATGGAAAGCTGCAGCCCTGTAGGGCCCAGGGCTGGGTTCGATTATTAGTATTCGCTTGAGTGTAAGTAACCATGGAAACCAAAGATTGCACCCAGACAGGCCAAGAACCCAGAGATTTGCAACTCTAATTTCCCAGAGAGTAAAGAGGGACAGACAAAGGTCAAGATAATTCATTCATACAGTATTCATATTCTCTCACCCATACTTACATGTATGGCCAGTTTCCTGCGCTTTCAATCATTCACGCACACTCTCTCACGGACACTAGACAAACAGTGGTTCAGTTTTCTCCTAACACAATACACATAGGGTGAAGAGGGACAAGAGACAGAGCTAGACTAGGCCTCCACTCACAGGGGAGGGGGACACAGACCAGGCCACAACAAGGCCACATTGACATAGAGAACTTACCGCAGTGCCAACAAAATCTGTTGAAAATATAAAAAGAGAAAATTAGGATGGATTGCAGCTTCCCAGAGGTTCTCTAGTGTGTCTTGGTGCTGGGGGTGAATTTATCCACTCTAAACCTGCTTTGGTGGTTCTGGTCGACACATGGAATAGGATCTTCACGTGTGTTATAGGGACAACATTGGCATAGGGCAAGACGCTGGCCAGGGGCGTTTGGAGATGCTGGCCAGGGGCGTTTGGCCCGCTCTCTGTGCCTCTTGGTGGCTTCCAGTTTAATTCTGTGTGTGTCGCAATTCTTTAGAGGCATGACATTCAGGAGGATTTATACTCCTTGTAAGTGTATTTTAAGATTATAGCCTCCGTTCTAGTTCAGCAGCTTTTTAATGTTTTATTGGGTGAGCACTTTTCCCCCCTCTCCACTACCAGCACAAAAATGTGCAACTCTTTTAAGAGAAAAAGAGAAACACGAGAAGCAAGCCTGTCCTCTTTTCCTTGTGCCATTATTTCATAAGCCTTTTTTTCTATGTCTTGTATGGCTTTTAGAAAAATAGGGTGTTTTCCCTGCAGTGTCGATTTACCTTGTGGTTTTCCCTTTTCCTTTCAACCCAATATGGACAAATGGCAGTACAACTCTTCCTGTTGTTGCTTGTAATCCATTACAGTTAGAGTGAACAGGATTGCCAAGACGTATGGTGCTCTTGTAGCTCTGACTTTAGGACAAATTTGATCTGCAGGAGTTAGCAGTTTAAACATCATAATACGGGGAAGTAATCATAAGAACATAAGCAGCTGCCTTCTATGGAATCAGTTCATTCATCCCATATAGCTGGTGCTGTCAACACTGACGGACAAGGGCCCTCCAAATCTTCATATAAACCAAGAAGGAAAAGCCTCAGAAAACCAATAACCATTTTGAGGTCTGTTTTATTTTCTTCTATTTCTTGTTCTTATATGAGTAGATCCTTTAATCTTTCTTTCGTTTTTGACCAATTCCACTTCAGTGGAAATGACCTGAAGAAGGCTGTGACAAAGACCACAGGGCCAAAACTTAATGGGCTCTATCCAAATAAGAGAATAAAACAGGCTTTATCAGGATATTCCTCCTTAGTTATGTACCTATAGTGTATGTCTGGTGGTTTTGCATTTATTACCGCCAGAGTTTCAAACATGCCCTATCTGAACATGCTAGAGATTGGACTTTAGAAAAGCAGAGAAATGCATACAGTGGTGCCTCGCAAGACAATGTTAATTCATTCTGCGAAAATCGTTGTTAAGCGAAAACATCGTCTTGCGAAACACGTTTCCCCATTGAAATGCATTGAAAACCTGAGAATCCGTTCCAATGGGATTGTCATCGTAAAGCGAAAATTGCCATAGGAAACATCGGTAAGCGAAACGCGGTTCCCAAGTGAAGACAGCCGTCTAACGAAACAGAGACCATTAAAAGACTTGTATAGCTAAGCAAGAGCAAGCTGTCAAAAACATTGTAAAGAGAAAAACAGGGACCTAAAATTTAACCGTCTTGTGAGGCAAGGTCGCTAGCATTGTAACACGAAAATCAGCCATAGGTAACATCGTTAATGAACAGCAAGATTGCTCCGAAAACCTCATCGTAAAGCAAATTCGTTGTCATGTGAAGCAATCGTCTTGCGAGGCGCCACTGTATTCGGCGTTTTAGATTGCAACTCCCAGAATTCCCAAGTAGTGGCATTAATACTCGGGGAACTCTGGGAATTATAGTCCAAAAATATAAACACAATATGTACAGTATGCACATCTCTATATTGCAAAGTATGTGCTGCACCTCTGAGTCACCTCTTCTTGTGCCATCAATAACATCTACTAATTCCTGCAAGTCATATTTCTGTTAAAAGCTGAGTGACAGACACTGGTTGAAAAGCTGGCATTTGGAAACCATCTGGATATTATACTAATTTATTTGAAAAACAGGGTTGTGTGAATTCCTCATGCACTCCTTATCTGAAGAAGACCTGGGAAGAGTCTTCCTTCTATCAGATAGCTAGTAGGCTGATAGTGAGTTTGGTCAACTTACTTACATTGTCTCAAAAAAAGAGGCCCCAAAGAAGTTTGCATTGAATAGGGCAATGTGTATGTACAGATTAAAAAGGCACACAATTTCTCTGTTCCCCTGACTGCCTCTCAAACAGAGAAATCTTCAAAAATACGACATATGGACATCTGACAGAGTCCAGTCCACTAAATGAAACCTTTGTTCCCATACACACAATGCCTATGAATGGAGTAGGGAGTTGTTGCACGTTCCTCAGGCTCACAATAGGCTGTGGACAGGATCCGTGTGTGTGTTCCTTTTCCATACATAAACCAGGGTTGGAAATTGCCTGGCTCTCGGTTTCCCCCTGGCTTCACTGGCGACTGCTTCTCTAACATTTGGGTTCCTGCTGGCGAGGCTGATTTTTCTTAATCTAAACAGATGGACCCTACCCAGAGGCCAGGAGATTTATTCTGATTAATTACATTTCCAATTAGACACCTTAGGCTTCCCTGGCTTTAATCCAAGCCTCAGCAAAGCCTGGAGAAAGAGGAGAAGGAAAAGACAGGCTACGGTCCCGTTTCCTCTTTGAAGCTAACTGGGTACGGGTGGACACAGAGTCATCTAGTAATGGGCATCGTTACTGCATGGAAATTTCAACGTAGCATCCTACCCTAAAGACTGGATAAGGATTGTTTTGTGGGAATGTTGACGGCAAGGGAGTACAACTCCTAGAAATCCCCTAGCAAACAAGGGAATTGCATGTTAGCAAAGGGGTCTTGGCAGTTGTAATTCCCCCCCACACACCCTGTAACTTTTCCAAGCTCTTATTCTAATAACTAGAGTTCAAGGGACGGCTAAACTACTGCATTCAGTCTCGAATCTGTCCATGCCTGAATGAGGGATGGGGTGGGAGAACTTACTATCCCCATCCCATCAGGCTCCACCGTCTGTTTTTCTGTGCGTCCATTTCTGCCTGCCTGCCTGACTCTCTAAAAATTAAAAAAAACCTGCTCTTCATCTTTATCAGCATCAGAGTAGTGTATAAATATAATAAATGCAATTTTAAAACCATCAAAACCCCGCCCCCTCTTTATCCATAATTTTGTGATTGAAGACAAATGAATTAGGAATGGATATGTTTACTATTGACATTAGTATTTACTGTATTTCTTGAATGCCTTTCTCTTTAAAAAAAAGAGGAAAAGAAGACTTCAGGCACTTTAGAGATAAAATGCATAAAATTTCGGCATTACAGTAGCAAGATTTTCTATCTCCTAACTTAGAAGTGCACTTTTCTCCTTTGAAGAACATTGGAACAGGCAGTGGCGCTTCCACAACTTGGAAAAATTAGGACTTTTCTTTGACTATGATGCCTTGAATCCTAACCACTACAGTGATCTGGAGGTCTAAAGCCCAAAATCACCTTTCCAAACTGTGGGTAGGACTTCTCATACTGAGCTGTTCCATCTGTCTGTTTTCTGGATGAAAATAAGATAAATGGAAATTCCTACTAGATCAGCTTTGAGATCAGAAAAGGAGCAATAATGGCCAGAAGATTCTGTGAGTTGTAGTCTGGAAAAGTAACTTGTCTGAGTTCTGAGTAGCTATGCAGCTACGCAACAGCGTACAATTGATGATGTACAATCTCCTAGGCCTCTTTGTAGTGACTCTGGGATTCTGTGCTTCGAAGAGCATAAAGAGAGCCTAGAATGATTATTAAGAGCCAATGTGTCAAACTGGGTAGACAAGATCTCAGAAGGCCTAAGTTCGAACCCACATGGAGCCATGGAAATTCAAGGGTGGGCATGGGGGATTTGGCAATGGGAAACCAATACTTCAACATCTGACATATCTCAAAAACATTATTAAGACTGACACAAGTCAGAATCGTAATGGTGTTCCATGTCTAATCACGCTGGCCATGTGACCACGGAAGATTGTCTTTGGACAAAATATTAGTTCTATGGGTCGGAAACGGAGATGAGCACCACCCCCTCGAGTCGGACATGTCAAGGGGAACCTTTACCTAAGTCAGAATCAACTTGATGACACATAAAATCAAATTATTATTATTATTACTTCTTAGAAGATTTAGCTTCTCTCGCTGCTGACCTCTGGGGTATTGACATTTCCTCATGGCTTCCAGAACATATAGCCAGAGACAATGTCGCAGTATTATCTGGGTAATATGTGAGTGGAATAGGAGGCACACTCACCTTTGTTCTCTGTTTTGAGCTCTTCATGAAGCAGGTCGTTCTGCCGGTTGCCGAGGACAAAGGCCAGGAAGGAGAGGATGAGGGCATTCAAGATGCCAATGATGGCTAAGATGTAAGCCCAGCGCACAGAGCAGTCGCCCAGTGAGTACTTCCCTGTCTTCTCCCCACACATGTCCCTGACGGTCTCTGAATCCCAGCCATCTGGGAATATCATGCAGCCCAGCACCAGGCAGAGAGCTGGACAGAAGGGGGAAAAAAAAAGGGGGGGAAAGCATGTGTTTAATACAATACAGCTGTGATTATCCGCACTCACAAGCAGGAAAGGGCTTCCAGACCAGGGCTGAATTTTGCAGCGCTGGGCTCATCATCACAGTTCTCCACAGCCACATCTACAAGGGAAGTCGGAAAATACTGATCCAAATTACATACACACATCTGTACGCACATATACAACAAAAGAGAAGTGGTGCCTAGCGTCATCGTCGGTTTATTCAGCTTAGCTGACTGTAATTAAAGGGCAGGGTAGTGGTTAGCAGAGTGGACTTAGGCTGAAAGACTTAAAATTATATTAAAAAGGGAAAAGAAACACAGAACAGGTCTCCCAATATCACTAGGTCATCTGCTCAAGATTTTCTAGGAATTTCTTTCCCCAGACTGAAGGGGAAACACTTTAATCTCAAAGTGCTAGCAATTTTCACTTTCTCTAGGAGATGGGTGTTTTATAAGGTTAATTAGTCTTAACTGCCTAATTCAAAACCAACTTGTTCCAGAACAATTGCATTACAGGAGAAATAGCTTACAGTAATATATGAACAATGGCTCTCACTACATCATGGACTTGTTTACTCTTTCATCTTCTAATGTGATAATTGCCATCCTCTGCCAGCAGTGCCCTTCTGCTTTATACATAGGGCAGACAGGACAATGAAGGAACACAATTTTTACATCAAACAGACCAGCACACAGAAGCCAGTATCAGAGAAGTTCAATTGTGTAGGACTGGAAGTGTAGCAATGTCACATACAGCGTGTGTAAAGCTGATGCTGTTATCTGCTCCAGGGGCCTATTGGAAATTCAAAATTTCTGTCCCTCCCTGCCTGAAAAGTCATAAGGCTCCCTTGGGAATGCTTTTGCTGTAGGGAAGCTTTTGGGGGGGATTATGGGATGGGTAAAGTCTTTGATTTCCAAAAATCACCATTGACAGTAAAGTCTTCCCGAGGGTGTTAAAATCTCCCTGGTGGGAGGCTGTGTGTTGTCCATCTTCGGTCTTAAAGGTGCCACAATATGCTCCTTTTTCTTTTTTGCTAAGACATGGCCATCTCTCTGAAAACTGCAACAATAATTACAGCACAGTAAATAAAAATTGTCACCGAAGCTGACCAGACTCCGGGAGGCAGTGGAAGATAGGAGGGCCTGGCGTGCTCTGCTCCGTGGGGTCACGAAGAGTTGGGCATGACTTAATGACTAAAACAACAAAAAATAAAAATTGCAGCAGCAGATTGCCACTGCTGCCTTTATGCTGCTTCATGCACCAATTCACACAACTCTTGGATGCTAGGAAAATCCATTACCGTCCCCCTCTGAAGAACTGCAACTAAAAGGGAACGACAGCAGCTGATGACATAGTGGCCCCTACTACTCACAAGGTCTCAGTGCTTTGATCTGTCACCCTTGGCGTCAGTACGTTGTTACTCCATGGGATTACAGAAGTGAGGATCAAGTGTTTAGAAAGGAGCTGTCTATCTTATTCCAAGCAGAATCCCAAACCTGTTTAAAATAACCTAAATTCCGGCACAAAAAGCGAGTGCATCTGCCCCCCACAGATCAAATTATGCACACTAAATGCATTTGCTATGCACGTGTGCACTAATTCTGCTCCTGCTGGCCAGAAGCTTTGCAGAACATTCACATCCCACTGCCCCCTAATCATAGGAGGCCCTGCTAAGCTCCTCTCCAGTGTACTCAGGCATTGCTCAAATGCTTTCAGCTTTTAGCTTTGCATTGATCAAGGCTGGACGTCCCTTCCCCACCATCTAAAGGTGAAAAACTGAGGATCTTAGGATGTTGCATGTGCACAGTGTGGCATATGAACAAAAACCTGCGCATAGATGGAAAGACACAGGGCAGAGATGAGTGTATTTGGCTATTGAGTTGGATATATCAATCAGGTATTTGGTGGGAAAAGTTACATTGACAGTTCCATAGAATCATATAATAAAGGAGTTGGAAGGACCCCATAAGGCCATCAAGGCCAACCAACCCCCTGCTCAATGCAAGAATCCAAATCAAAACAGATCTGACAGATGGTTATCTAATCCCCACCTCCCGAGGTTATTGTCTTTAGGAAGTTTCTCCTAATATTTAAACAGATGAGAAAAGGAGATGGGAAATTGACTTTGCCTCAAAAGATGAAATTATTTTAACCCCAGGAAAGCAAGTTTCAATTAAATATTACTCTAAGGATGGGTAGCTTTAGTGAGTCTTGGAGTGAATTTTCTGTCCTTTTCTCAGCACAGACTGCCAAAATTATGATGATGATGATGATGAAGAAGAAGAAGAAGAAGAAGAAGAAGAAGAAGAAGAAGGGAAGTTAGCATCAAAAGAGGAATATTTCAAGGGGATTCTTTATTACCACTGCTGTTTAACATCTCACTAATCCCCATGTCAATAATTTTAAATAAAACTAGATTGGGCTCTCCTGAGAAACCTGTACGTGGGACAGGAAGCAACAGTTAGAACTGGATATGGAACAACTGATTGCTTCAAAATCAGGAAAGGAGTATGACAAGGCTGTATATTGTCCCCCTGCTTATATAACTTATATGCAGAATACATAATGCGAAAGGCTGGACTAGAGGAATCCCAAACCAGAATTAAGATTGCCGGAAGAAATATCAACAACCTCTGATATGCAGATGATACCACGCTGATGGCAGAAAGTGAGGAGGAATTAAGGAACCTTGTAATGAGAGTGAAAGAGGAGAGTGCAAAAAACAGTCTGAAGCTCAACATCAAAAAAACTAAGATCATGGCCACTGGTCCCATCACCTCCTGGCAAATAGAAGGGGAAAAGATGGAGGCAGTAACAGATTTCACTTTCTTAGGCTCCATGATCACTACAGATGGTAACAGCAGCCCGGATGTTAGGAAAGTGTGAAGGCAGGAGGGGAAGGGAACAACAGAGGATGAGATGGTTGGACAGTATCATCGAAGCAACCAACATTAATCTGGCCCAACTCCGGGAGGCAGTGGAGGACAGGAGGGCCTGGCGTGTTCTGGTCCATGGGGTCACGAAGAGTCAGACACGACTAAATGACTAAACAACAAAAGATTGGGCTACCATATTTCAGAAGCAGGAAAAAATCAATCATCTGTTATACTTGGATGACCTAAAACTATATACTGTACATAAAGTTCCACAAAGATAGAATCACTGCTAAATACAGTTGCAAAACTTTAGTGAAGATATACAAATGAAATTTGGAATTGACAAATGTGCAGCTATGTCTATACACCATGGCAAGATCCAAAAACCGGAGTTAAAAATGACAATATTATAAATCACTATCGTGATGAAAATTATAAATACCTTGGAATATTTGAAGCAGATAACATTGTGCACATGAAAGTTAAAGAACTGACAGAAAGGGAATATATCAAAAGACTGTGAAAAATCTTAAAATCAAAATTAAATTCGGGAAATACATTCAAAGCCATATACAGTTCCAGTAATCAGATACCCAGCTGGAATAAAAGATTATGCTCAAAATATATTAGACAAATTGGATCGAAAAACACAGAAACTAATGAACATGCATCATGCAGTACATCCAAAAAAATGATGTGGAAAGATTATATTTACTGCGAAAAATTGGAGGCTGTGGGTTACTGAAAATCGAGCAGATAGTACAGGAGGAAAAAAGAAGCCTAAATGATTATATCAGTACAAGCAGAGAAAAATTACTTAAAGCGGTAAAAATGGAGAATATTTTGAAAACAAGAGAAACAAAGGCTCAATATAAGGAACAACAATTTGAAAATAAACAGCTGGAAAAATAAACCACTACATGGACAATACCTGAGAAATATTGAGGGAAAGCATGATCATAATTCAACATGGGCATGGATGTACTGGGGACCCTTAAGAAAGAAACCAAAGGCTTGATTTTTGCTGCACAAGAACAAGCACTCCAAACCAACGTGATGAAAGCTAAGATCCAAGGAATTAGTGCCAAGAGCAAATGTCAACTCTGCCACGAAAAAGCTGAAACAACTCATCTGTGAATTTCCAAAGATTGCACAAACAAATTACAAAGTTAGACATGATAGAATGGTAAAATTAGTGCACTGGTCATTATGCAAAAAGCATAACTTGCCAGCCTTCAAAAAGCTGTGGGAACATCAGGTAGAGAAGGTGTCAGAAAATGAGGAAGTCAAGATTTTGTGGGATTTCTGGATTCCAATGGATAGACAACTTGAGCATAACACACCAGACATCATAGTAATAGAAATGTCCATATCATTGACACTGCAATTCCAGGGGATGCCAGGGTTGAAAATAAAGAATTGGAAAAACTAACAAAGTACAGAGACCTGGCAATCGAAACATCTCACCTCTGGAAGAAGCACACTTCAGTGGTCCCCATAGTCATACGGGCTTTGGGAACATTATCAAGAAATTTCACACAGTACTATAAGCAGCTGCAGATCTCAGAAATAACACCATCAGAGTTACAAAAAACCAGCAATATTAGGAACAGCATACGTACTGCGTTGATATTTAACAGATACTCAGACCATGTTGTACAGGGTTGATGGGAACTACAGTCCAACATCATCTGGAAAGCTTGCTTGTTATTCCAATGCCTCCCACACCCGCCTCTGTAGCCTGAGATTTGGGGTAACAAAAGCAAAAAAAGTGTTGCTTATATACCACCCCATCATGCTTAAAGCACTCTCTGAGTGGTTTACAATTTCATTATGTAGGCTACACATTGCCCCATATTCCCCAGTGAGCTGCGTATTCAATTTACTGACCTCAGAAAGCTGAGTCAACCTTGAGCTGGCTACCTGATCCTGTCAGGACTCAGGATCGAACTCAGGTTGAGAGCAGAGTCTTGACTGCAGTATTGCAGTTTAAGCACTGCATCAGGGGAGGCTCCTTTTTTGTTCATTTAGCATCCATCAAATAACTTATAAAGGAGCATGATGTCTGCAGGTATCCCCGAGAGACTGCT